AATATGTTCCCAAATTCGCCAGCACCCACGTAGCAGGAACGCAATACGGCCCCCATAGTGAAGACCCAGTAAAATTGAAGAAAACAGTATAGAACTGCGTAAATCGTTGTGTCAAGCGCTACGCAGTGTCCTACTCATCCCCAAACGATTCTTATTCAGCGCAACCGACGTACACGGCGAGACGCACTGTCACCTAGCCAACGTGCTGTGGGAAGGACGACAACAAAGTGATCCAACTTGCGTGCCACAAAAATGATTCCTTTGGATAAATGTCATACGATCGCTTGCCTCACCAGCCTAGCCCACGTAATCTTTCGAGAACCGAGCACAGGGAACACGCACACATCCCGTTTTGGTACATCCAAGTAGTGCTATTAGGGCAAAGACCCACCTTGACCGCCAAACATCTTAGGTTGTAATTGTGTACGACTGGGCAGGGCATAACGGGCACGCACACACACATACCCGATCAGTCTAAAGTGGCATGCATCCTCCAATCCGAACCGGCCTGTCTGCGGGCGATCAAGCCCAGATGCAAGTCGGCACTACAGATTATGACCAAAATAGCCTGAAGAGTGTCAGCGGCGGCGACCCAGCGAGAGGGAGGACACTACGTTAGTAGCATTAAAGACAGCATTACCAAAGAGAGCAAATTGACCCATGTAGTGGACTAGGGAAGTGGAGGGGAGAGGACACCAAAGAGGGGCAGGTGGCAAAGTGGCGGAAGTCCTGTGTAGGACGCTTCAAATGTCAGCACTAGACCGCCAGAAGCCAATTCTTTGGCGCACGAGCACAGTCACACACGCACATTCAATGGGAGGTTCGATGAGTTAACAAGCCGATCCGGGAGGCCGCGTTGAAATAAGCGCGGCTATTTGACAGCGATCAAATGCTGCCTCATGTAAGTACACGGTTTATCAACGCGGTACGGGCGAGAAGCATGGAAGAAGTGAGGTATGCGCGCGCCCACCGGAGTAGAAGTGTCATTCAGCTTACAAGGCAGACATAGGGCGGGGAGGGGGTGAGAAAGAAGGGTCCACCAGTGGAGGGGAGTGAAGACAGTCGCGAACATTAGGGCCTTGGATTTATTGTAACTCCGCGACGAATCTTGCCCCATCCTATCAACCTGAAAAAGAAAGCACACAAAGTGGTGGGTACATCAGTAGTGCACGGAGGAGGTACAGTACGTGACCTATCTCATGAAATCTGAAAACGGAAACTAATGGTAGAATTTCTGGACGCCTTTAACGTTGAGCATTTTGTTCGCTCATCCACTTCCCTCAGTAAAACGCCCTTTTCGTGTGGAGAAATTGTGTTCACGTAATTATATCAAATAAAATATCAGTAAATTTGTAGCGAAGATGGACATTTGATTATATTCGTGCAATCTCCTATGCCAATACATGTTCAAGACTCCGGTTACGCATCTGAGCGACTTTTTTTATTGAAAGGATAGTAATTTACCCGCGAAAGTTTTAATAAGCAGATTTAACCGAACTCGAAATTTTAGTTTAAGTCCGATGATAACCATGTTGATCAACCTGCTAACACAAAGGCTATTTTAAGAAAACCACAGGTTTTATCAATTTCTAAATGTCAAATTAGCAGATATGTGCGAGTTGGTGTCCAAAAGTGCAGTATAAACGCAGATAGGGATTCCTTCGTACAAATCGACAGAAATTATTTTACTGTTTGGAAAATTCTACCTGATGTCACATTGATGACCACCACGGAATGGTCATTTCCAGCTTTAAACATATGAAACACTACTTGTCGTGTAGTTTAGCTTCTGTGCATATCTCATTCAGAAACAGAACGAGCAAAACATTAATAGTTCCAGCAAAATGTCAGTATTTATATGGGCGCTGTATCGTGCATTGATCATCGAAGAACGGAGTCTAAAAGCGAGCAAAAACAGTGGAAATGGCCTCGATATATAGAGAAAGGCGTGCTCTTACGTTCACGGTAGAAAAATAGTAGTAATTATCAGGAAAGTGAAAGAAGCGGCCATAAGTGTCGCATTTTTACTTGGCCTCACCGTGCAAAAATGCAAAGTACGCAGAGATCCTTCAACGGAGTTCAGTAATAAAGCACTTCTTAAAGAGGTAACTTAATAAGGAAAGTTTTCTTATTGTTCGAAGGCATATTCGTTGCTGACTTTCGTTGTGGACAGACATTTTTCTCGAAAATGAAGTTTGATGTTTGAATGAGTCTTCATATGTGACACAAACGACCATCTTCGTGAAAAGTGGCGCCCGAACACTCACTAATTTGGTATATGCCATCAAGAATAATCTTATTTTAAAGTTCTCAACGGACAGGTAATTCAGCGTCTGTCTTTATGGACGATCGGATGAAAACACTGAAAAACATAAAGTATTCAGCAACATTTCGAGGCCGATTTGAAACTCAACGTAATCCAAAACGAACGAGAAGTGTAAATTAATTTAAAGGAAGAAAATTTATCTCTATAAACACAAAATGGTACGTTTACGATCACGCCTGTCAGTTCTATTTAAATTTGTTAGGCACCGACCGGCCTCAAAGCATGTCACCTTATGAAAACTTTTGATTCTACAACATCTCCATCGGTGAAATCAAGCAAAATCCAGCTTCTCTTGCTGGATCCCATCTCATTTACTTCAAAAAAATAAAATAACGGAGGACTCACTGGAAAACTGTTTTTGAATCTGCACTCAGGATGTAGGCAGTTGACAAACCGTCATATATGAAATCACACTACTTATTAAACAATATTTAGATGTAAACTTCACTAAAACACTGTTATTAAACGCTATTTTATGTCTACTTTCATATTTACCACGTTTTTGGTATGATAATACATTTTGTGTATCTAAAAACGAACTTTACTTAATTAGAGCCATTTCTGACATTTTCGGGATATTGCGCTTTTCAAAACAAATCGGCATTTCTAAACAACGCAACAATGCCTTTAACAATTCTTTTATGTTTTTAATTTTTTTAAAATTGTAGTTAATTAACATAGAAATCGGACTCATGAAATGGTGTCGGTTTGCGAGTGATTGGCAATCATTCGTAAATTTGGACACATTTCATGAGTTAGGTCACTAACTGTAGACAAGAAAATAAACCCGGCGCCCGAGATTCCCGCCGCGACAAGGAATGCGTGAATGCGCCACAGTCGCGCGAACCGCACGTATCGAAAGAAAAAAAAGTATTGGCGGCTGGTTCGACGACATGCTTCTCGGGTAGGTGGTTACAATTTCGCTCTGTGGCAAGCAGTAGTCTAAAGTGATGTGGAAAAGTTTCAAACTTTTGGCCGACTGCGTCCGATTGAGCACTTTAGTATCTACTGCCACCACCCTTAAGCGCCGGAGCGAGTTCAACGAGATGGTTTACGTGGAATAGAAACCGATCCCAAACAATGAGAAAGAACGGGTCCTCAATGACCAGCGGGTCAGTGTGGGGCTTAAGCGCATAACTATCGTCTTTTTAGACAGGTCGCAGAGGGTGGTCGTCGTCTTTAATTTGCCGATGACAATCGTTGTATACGTTTGTGTTAGGGATTAATAGGACGAAACATCGAGATGGCAGCACGCAATGGACGGCATGAACTTCCCTGCCGCAAGCGTGGGCCTCATAGATAGTTAATACGCTGTCCTCCCAAGTTTCCTTCAGCCCAAGACTGTCAAACTAAACACATTTTCATCTAGCGTAGACAGGGCGTTCACCAAATAGGGTGGGGACATGCTCGTTCCGTTGCTAAGGAAGGGTGCTGGACTTAGGACGCCCGATAACCAGAGAATCCAGGTTCGAACCCCGGCTCCCGAAAATCCAGGATTTGCTATGGCTACCTGAAGACAGCTAAAAAATCTGAAATGGCCGTTCTTTGTCGGTACTCCATCCCTGCATAACCTCATCTTCCAGACACTGAATCTGTGACGCACCCTAGAAGCAGCGATGGCGGTCTTGTGAATTCCAACGATTGTTTAGCGTGCAAGACAGCTTGGTAAGTACCAAGGGTTGTTGTGGTCGACCTGCCTCATCAGCGAGTGGGCTGACGGACTTACTAGGTGGCAGATAGTGGAGTATGGACATTATGACACCTACTCATCTAAAATGTGAGGTCTAACGACTAATGTTAGAATTAACTTTTCAGCAGGCTGAAAAAGGCCCAACCCATCGGCGTCACGATAAAAGGTAAGAAGTGGGACCTAAAACTAAGTCCTGACCATTCCACGGTCAGCTGCCTATAGTTGTGTTTAACGTTGCGATTTTTAAGTACTAAGCAGCATCACGCAGATCGCTTCAGTCATGCCAGAATAGCAGAGGCTCATAACATATCCTACGCAATTTGCAATGCGAAATAAGGACAAAGCGTTGGTTGTTGACACAGGAAATGAACAAGCGTGGGTGGCAGAACATAGCGACAGAACGTCGGCCAACAAAACTGCAGACGTGAGTTGGACTACAGGCAATGGGACAGACTATAACGATAAAACTCGGTAGATTTTTAGCGAGATGGAGTAGATAGACTTACACAAATATGGCGGCTTTTTGGGTCTGCCGACGCACGCAGTCCAAGATTAAGTCGTATTCACTGCTATTAGCACACAAACCACACAGGCGCTCCTGCTCACTGTGGTCAAGCGTCTACTATTATATGATTACGAACTGAGAGTTCGGTAGGCAGGGCATACGAGTGAGGAAAATACCAAGTGACAAGATGTGCGGTTTTAAAAGCGGAACGTGTATTTCGACGTGGGCTGTCAACCTTTGTGGAGTATATACTTTTATCTTCAATCAAATCTCAAGCAGATTGCTTCTCAAACAAAATTGTTGCAACACAAGATTTCACAAACTACACACAAGCCTTTATCCATTAACCACTTATGCCAAAACCCGGTTAGGATTTCCGAACTTCAACTAACTGCTAAAAAGTATTCATCACCGCGTCAAATTTCAAACATGAAGAGTTTTGTTTGGAAAAATCTGGGCATATTAACGCCTGGGAAGAAATTCTTCGCTTTCATCAAGCCGATGCGTGGCTCCTACATTAAAGAAACTGCCTCGCTGCTCAGTTTCGACAGAACAACTCTCCTGACGACAAAATCGTAAATTCTGGAGTGCAAGGCTGGGCAATTCAGTGGCGTTCTAAGTCGATCATACATAATATCCAAAGAAGCCATCAACAGAAAACCTCAAATAGAAACCAACGCAGAGCTCGACCGTCCGTCCCCGGTTTAAGAAACCAGCAAAGTTGTAAAACACATGTCCAACGGCGAATCACCGAGCGCCCAGGGGAACATTACAAATATTATGACCACCAGTAACCACGGAGGCATCTAATTCCTCAACATCGCAGGCAAAATCTTCGCTCGCCTATATCTCCCCCGGTGAAAGGACTTCTCCTTGAAAGTTAATAAGAATCTCGATTGAACCGTGGTGCCATAGGCATGACCTTCGCTGCCCTCCAAGTACAAGAGAAATGTCAAGAAATGAAAAACAGACCCTACAACAGGTGAGACACGAATAGAACCCGTTGACTTTAATTCATAAACAGTGCCTATTTACTTAATTTAGGTAGTTTGATAGGTGTTATCAAAATTCTTTGAGGTCTGTTGCCGTTACGTGGCCTTCAAGACAGCATAGGTGATTTTAGGTTAATTGAACAGTAGGAATCCTCCATAATACAGGTGGTCTTGCACATAATCCTAGGCATATTATGGTTAAGGCTAGACTCGTGGTTAAGGCAGGGGCATCTTCATGGAATTTAGTACAGAGTCCTCTGTATTGCGGGAGCTCCTATTCCCGCGTCTTGCTGTAAAAATCCTATTTGCGCCGAATGCCTGTTTTAATGCGATAAGCAGGCAACAATTAAATTCTTTTTAATTTGGATATTCTAGTAAAGAAGTCTAAGAGATTACTGCTAATTTTTATGGGCTACCCATACCAAATAAGGACGCACGATATGAAAATATTGTTCAGGGGGGATTTATATCTTCGTGTCTTACCAAACAACACGTTTGACAGAGATCTTCCACGCGACAGTCCAACCGTCGTTCCAAGCGAGGTCCACCGTGTGCTCTGCTGCATCTACAGCGCTCTCTCCTCCCTCGCTAGTCAGGCAAGCCAGAGGAGGGATCGAGCCCAGGTTGCTGGCGCGGCGCGAGCCTGCAGCTAGGCGCGTCACCAAACACTCCTGTATGGCATTTATTAGGGGTGCGCAGCCCAATAACGCATGTCGAACCCCGATCTTAATTGGTACGGCGCAGCTCCCGCGCGGCTCGTCTCGGGGACACAACACCTTCTATACGGCCAACCACAACGGGCTCCGGGAAGTGATGCTGAAATCCGGACTTTCGGGACGGTCTAAACAGATGGCACAACTCTACGACGGAACGATGGATGGGCGCACGACCAATGAGGCGACCTCAGAGTTTTGTATTCGTCCGCGCCCTCTTTACACTCATGTTCTCTGCTATGCTGATGGACGCTAGTGGTGAAGAGCGGTCAGGAATAAACCACCTACCGAACTGATGGACAGTTGTGCTATCGTCCACACATACAGGCATTTATACGACCCTCCACGACCATTATTTGTGATCTCCTGTTCGCGGATGACTGCGCGCTCAACGCCACGACGGAAACGAACATGCAGCGAAGTATGGACCTTTTTTGCCTTCGACCGCACAAACTTTTAACTGACCACCAACACGGAGAAGACAGTAGTCGGGTATCAACCAAAACCATCTGATGAGTTCATATTGACCCATCTGTGAAAAACTCGGCGCCTCGGTGGGATCCGAACCCACGCAGTAAGGGGGAAGGCTTTAGTACAGCCAACGCTCTAACCACCTGAGCTACGAGGCCCCGCCGGACGACGCGAGTTTTATCACACTTGGGTCAAGTTACCCGCCCAACCTAATGCAACGTCTGGAATCCACCAAATCTGATACAGTAAGTTGACTGCCCAAGCAGGATTTCCAAAGTAATTCACCTAGAATCCACCAGATGACTACCAGGCTCACGTAATTCATTGATATGATTTATTCAAAATCTGCCAAAATATCATCTGATGAGTGTAACGCGCTCAGGATCACTGTGAATGTAATTCGCATTGCGTCCGTGAGCACTCCCCGCGGAGCTATGTCACTTAGTGTGATGTGGCCAACGAAGTTTGAACCAGGTCGAGCACGGCACAGGTAGATGGGCTTTTCAGCCCTATCAGCTATTGCACTCAATCTAATCACCAGTTGTTTGACGGGCTTTGACAGTCGGCTGGTGAGCGGGAGAGGAAAGATAGTGAGTCCTACAGTGGGAGGACCTACCCTCGTGGTTCGCCAGCCCACTCGATATTTATCAGAACTGAGGGCTAGGCTGTAATGGCTCCTTCTTAATGTGGTCTTTATAGCATTCTCATTTGTCCAAGATCCGAGCAGCCCTTTCTGTGGCCTGGTTCACCCGAAGTGAAGACTAGCTCGTGTGTGGTACGCAAGAACGAATTGTTTAGCTGTCATACATACATGCATGCACACTAAACATGTTACTGACATTTTAAAGTAAAACGTTTTCCGCAATTTAACAATAGGACGTTCTGTAATCGAATCCGAAATGCGAGTAACCTACACTGTCGCGGAACAACAGCCCTATTTTATCTGATGAGAATGTTATTAATTTGCGATAAACAGAGGCACTGCGACTGCATTTACTCCAAATGCCGATATGCCTGCCATGATCGATTTTCCAGGGTAGCAAAACACCGATTCATCTATGCTGCACCGTCCAGGATTTCTACAGCCTTCATAGCACCAGATGTCCACCACGGTCTGCTAAGTCACCTGAACTTAATCTAATAATGTACTTTTGTAAGTATCCTTAACGAGTGGTTCTCGGAACGCCGAGGTCTGTTCTAAACTAGACCCGCTCTTATGAATGTTCGGAATGTGATCATGGAAGGACAAGTTTCGTGTCTTATCGACACCATGGAAACGAGTTGGCACTGTAATTCTGCAGTATGGTGGAGTCTACCCCACATCACCAAATGCATTAATTTATTCTCTTAATTTCCAAATCAACTGCCTTAATGTAGATTAATCGAAGACAAGGCGCGCTAAAAAAGGGACGACGGCCAAACAATTTTTACTGATATAACATGTTTCGCAGGTGAGGGGGCTCCCTTCTTAGTGAACAGTGTACAGCTAATGAACCGCATAAATGATAGTATCAACGGTTTTTCACCTCATAACGGTCGAGGGGCTGTCTTTATGCATATGCCTCACAGGCTGCCAAGGGCGCATTTGAGGTACGGGACAACTACTGCAGTAGGGAAGTGGAACTTCAGTCAGAATAAGCTCGAATAGGTTTTCGAACGTGAACGCTCAAATTCGGGCTGCACAAACCGAATTTTTCTTTGATTTTCCCTCTTGCACTTCACTAGCGCGTTTTATTGTGTAGAAGGCCGAAATCTGACAAGTTCTGATGGTGAAGCATGCAGTACGCTTTCGGAAGTATTTGAATTGTTATCGTGTTTCGGGAAATTTAATAATCATCCCCAGTAGCCTCTTTGTCTAGTAGACCGAGCCACAATTCAAAAACATGTAAGAAAAACTTGTGTGTTAATTATGTACTTCTTGCACTTTTTCAACACAATAAGAGCGGAAAAAGAACGCACATAAATATTGCATCCTTTAGCAACTCAAGTCTTACTGGTGCGAATCGAATGCACAACGCTTAGATCGACGTTTTTCTTCCCAGCATTTGAGATAAACTAAGTCTCAAAAGGATCGGATAGTCGCTACATCGGACAAACGATTATGCGAGAATCGGCTGTTGCAAACTTTACCAAGTCGGTCAACGAGCGGCTAACCCGTTCCGACCCCCGGGCTTCTTGCTCATCGGTGTTGGAGACGAAGACAGCTCAAACGGGACAGTTGCCTCTCGTTTGAAGGACGACGCGTCTCCGTAGACGAAAGGCAGCAAGATAGTACACCGCTGTATATATGTGCAAACATAAGCACAAAAGTCGGGCAGAGGCCTGACATTGGAACAAATCAGGGGATGGGGGAGTTAAAAGCCCAGGAGGATTTGTGACTTGTCAAAAGAGTTAGGCTCTGGTCCCTGATAAAAATTCGCACACGGCCAGGCATATTTACAAGGAAGGCAACAGTCGTTGGCACTTTCGAGGGACTGCTCAGTGTGGCGTTTAGTGTTTCAGAAAGGATGCTATTGTGCCGCCCTTTGGGGATTCCGAGCATACAAAGCGGCAAGCCAAACTACTTTGCGGAAGAGCCGACCAACAGGAATCTAACCGATGGAAGAAACTGTTACGTCGAAGAATGTTAACGCTCATACAACGATAAAAAGTTCATGCGCAATGCCAATGCATTCTCCCTAATATATTCAAAGTGGGTATGCCGCATTTAAACACAGACGTACTCTCCATTCCTAGGCAAAGCTCGGGATGGTTACCAGTGCAGCGAACAACACCATCAGGAACACTAAGGCGGTTAGAACCCCCTGAACAACGGACGATACGTGCAGCGTGGAGGACAGGAAAATACAGAAAGCAGTCTGAGACGACTGACAGGTGGGGCATCGTTTCAAAGCTCCTGACTGACTGAAATTAGCGGAGTATCAGACGCGGGAATGGAACCGCTTGAACAACGGACGATACAGTGCGTGACCGATCTCATGAAATGTTGGCCGAAATTCTGAAATGCGTGTTCGATTAGGAAGGATTACTTAGGCGGAGTTGTGATATTGATTGGCATGCAGCATAATCCTGTAGTATTTCATACTCGCCAGGATGTCAGTTTTTAAATGCATTTCTTTTCGTCCTCCTGCAGAAATCACACTCGGTAAAAAATGACTACCTCGGTGGCATACATTTTGCACGTTGATTTTCGATGGTCGTGCAAGTTCGAATGTATTTTATAGAAATATGCTTTCCTTCAGTTGTTTGATAGAGAATCACATCATCTTCATATTTTACGTCAGAAGAAGGAGTATAATGAAGTTTTAAAAAAGTTTTCTAATTCCCGAATAATTTGGAGCCTGATCAGTCGTTGCATTTGCGCTTAATGACTTCAGTCTGCAAGGTGCATGCGTTCGGCGTAAAGAAAACCGCATATTCTTCTATGCCTTTAAAAAAGATACTATATAGAGTCCATAAAGTTTTGCAATGGATGCGGGCCATGTTGTACATTTCATGAGGAGCAGTGGTAAACGGACAGGCACGATGCTATATGAATGGACATTGCGCGGCCCTAAAAGGTCCCATAAATGGAAACTTTTTTAAAACCTAATTATACTCCTTCTTCGAGTATAAAATAAAACGTAGACGTGATTCCCTATCAAACGACTGAAAGAAAACCTATTTTCTCCGTGGTTTCTATAAAATATATTTGGATTTGCAAGGCCATCAAAAATCAAGGTGAAAAATGCATGCTACTGAAATTGTCATTTTTTCCGAGTAGGGTTTCTATACGGGAGATTGAGAACCAGTGCATTCAAAAGCTAATATCCTGCCGAGTGCGAGATATCATAGGATTATGTCGCAAGATAATTAGTATTACAACCGTGCCTAAGTAATCCTTCCTAGACGAAAACGAATTTCAGAATTTCAGCCAACATTTCATGAGATGGGTCACTCACTGTACGTGCAGCGTGGAGGACAGGAAAATACAGAAAGCAGTCTGAGACAACTGACAGGTGGAGCATCGTTTCAAAGCTCCTGGCTGACTGAAATTAACAGAGCGGGAATGAACGTACCGCCAGTGACGTTCAACCCGTCGACTGAGGGCCAACTTCTCGCCGACCTCAGTGCAGACAGGACTGTTGAGGGCAATTTTAGCCAAATCGCCCTTCACGGCGACCACGTGACCACCGCTGGACAGAGACCCGATGTTCACCATGAGCACTTCGTGCTTCGCCAACTTTTGCACCTAGAACATAAGACGGGGACAAAGTGGTCAGTGTAAACAGTAGCAAACGCAGCTAAAATAACAGAATAGACAAGGTCATCAGTACTGACTTAGATTTTAGGTGGAATTTAAATAATAGTGTGTCAGAAGCCGTGACACCATCGATATCACCGATTAAGGTATTTTAAAGGTAAGAAGGTCAACCTTTGCTCCCTTGCGGTCACCCTCGGTTCGGACACCCAAGAGGCGGCGCAGCAGGAAGAAGGAGATCTCCAACTCCACGTAGATATCTGGCAGGGTACCAACAGCTCCAATCACGTGCCCCACCAGACGGTCAGCCCGGAACAGCTGCGGATCCACTTTCGTGCCCACGCCAATCAGGCCGCCGGGCACGGCATAGGCGAGGTCATTCTGCTCAGCAAAAAGCGAGAGGATGCAGGAGCGAATGGGTCGACAGGTTACCCGACCTGCTTCGTCCTTTGACACAAGACCGGGACGGATCTCGATCTCCTGACCAATCTAAAGAGTAAAGAGGGAAAATGACAGCAGGCCGATCAGCAGTTGGCTCGGTCAGCCTGGAACAAGGGTGTGCACGCGCGTGCCCACAATGTCGTAAGATAGACACAGTTGGAGGTGGCAGCTACACAAATACATCCCCCCCTCACGCAACATTGAGTATGAATGCTTTACTCTTATAGTATAAACAGAACTAATTACTATGCCATTATACTGTAATGAGTTAATCGGTGTTAGCTCTATCATGCGTGTACTGAGCGGAGAAGCTGACGTTTAGGCTAGGCAATAAGTTTAAGACGTAGAGAGGGGAATTATCTGAAGAGCGATAGTCCTAAAGCGCATGGTCACGCCCGTCTCCTTGTGCTGACTTGTGCGGGAAGCAAACTCGATACGATCAGGGTTTATAAGTCTACCTGTTTGGTCGACGGAAAAACATAGGTTACTTAAAAGTGGAAAGTATGGGGGAAAAGATCTGATAAAATTACTGCAGTTGGAGGGAGCGGCCAGGCATAAAAAATCTTGTGACTAAATGAGAATTTCACTCTTATAAATGTATAGGCATCTAACATGAAGTTATTCGGACGAGATAGCAGTGCATAAACACGAAGCGTTAATTGGACGGTCTTTCATACCAAGACGTCGTCAGGTCCGATGTCCTCTACCGGCAAAACCGGTCTGATTTGTTCGTTCCTATTGAAAGGTAATTTACGGCATTCTGCTTCTGGAATCGCTTACGCGTACTTCATTAACTGAGACACATATTTCCAACAGTTGATAGACAAAATGCCTCATTGGCCGTTCGCAAAAATACTACAGTGGCTTTTTAACCCATCTGAATACTAGGAAACTTTTCAAAAAATTCTCTCCCCTACAACCATACCCTTGAGTACTTTTCAATGGGTAACGCTACCGACTGGCAATATTCAAGCAGATCAAGTAGAAGCGGAGGTAAGATAGCAAAGGTGCGGAACATACTTTCAGGACACCGCGAAGTACACTGCCGCCGGCAACACCCCCGCGCAGAGCATCGACTTCACAGCCGGGTTTGTTTACATCAAACGACCGGATGACTGAAAACGATGAGGAAGATAAAATTATGAGGCAGGAGGAAAATGACGAAAAGGCAACGAGATGTATGCTGATTTGAAGCGCACGGCAATATGACCATTGGACCACAAATGACTGTGGAGGTAAAGGAGTCGGACGAATAAGACCAGTAGTTAGTTTTAACGAACACGTATATGCAAAAGGAATACTGACGATGACAAGAGTGACTGGAAGAGTCATCTCTGATCTAGTAGCCGTCGTCAGCCGGCAAGACGCTTGTGATAAATGGAAAGTAAACGCCCTTCAGGCGGTCTTCGAGGTCTTAAAGCAAGTTAGGTTATTTATGGAACAAAAGGTCTATCCACTTTTCATAGCTCCAACGAATAAGCTGGTCAACCTGGCCAATCTTGAGGCTGGCACTCAGGCATAACCGAAGTGATTTCAGGAAAAGTACAACAGCGATAGTCTGATAGTCTTCCCTTAAATCAAGGGGTAAGAAATAACTTGGTGCTTTCCTGGCCACTATTTCTGGTTATCTAAACGAAAAAGAATGGTACTTATCGGCAATGACGAGTTTCAGCAGAAATACTCGGGCTCGTAAGACATGCAAGTTGACTGCCTCGCTTCCTTCTGCATGAATACTCTCTTATAACTGAGCGGCTAAGAAAATCAGGCAGCAATTAGGGATACGGAGACAGTGCAAAGTTTGAGTCTAGGCTAAAACAGGAAGAAGAGATCGCAGCCGGGATCTTTGAATATACCTCACGAGAGGAGGCAAACGGATTTAGGAACTTACCAATCAGACGAGGGTCCGAGGTGAAGTCACGTACTGGTACCGGAATGCTATTCACAATGTAATCACAGACGACATCGATGTTATACTTTAGCTGGGCCGAAATGGGGATGATAGGCGCGTTTTCAGCAACACTGCCCTTAGTGAAGTTTACAATCTGAAGTAACAGACAGGGCAGTGTAAATTTATGAACATGAAAGCATCCTACTTCTGATTACCTAATAAAAGTAAATGGTTACCCATACCTGTTCGTACTGATCGTGTGCAGTGGCCTCCTTTATGAGGTCAATCTTATTTTGCAAGATTATGATGGTGTTCAGTCGCATGATCTCGACTGCGGCGAGGTGTTCGCTTGTCTGGGGCTGTGGGCAAGGTTCATTGCTGGCGATCAGAAGAAGGGCAGCATCCATGACCGCTGCACCGTTAAGCATCGTCGCCATGAGAATGTCGTGGCCAGGACAGTCGACGAAGGACACATGGCTTATCGAAAGCAAAAACGAGCGCATGGAATGGTGCTCATGCGGAGACAAATAAGTAACAACGCGACTAGTCATATCACTTAGCACTGATCAAATACTGGGCGGGATCATAACAACAATCGGATTATTAAATCCAGTTTGTGCTCCGTGGCTAAACCAAAGGGTGTCAACCAACTGAATTGGAAGGGATAGGGAGGCTGCTAAATAAAACACAATCGACGGGGTTGGGACAACCTGGGAGTGGAAAAACAGGAATAGATACGATATGATCAGAAAAGAGTGATATAGTTGGTATTACACCTGGAATATTTAAGTGCGGAGTCACGGAGGGAAGACCTTTACGTGGACAAAAGCTAGCTAGTTGCGGCCATGAAACACTAATAGCGAGACGTTAAAGAGGCAGCGACCGGGAGACCAGAACCCTAAGAAATGTGAGAAAAAACAGAAAACGGTTGAAAAGTGCCGTGCAAGTCAGCAGAAGGGACACGAGCACCTCAATGTACTTCTTTTTAACAGCAAGTCTTGGCCTGACCCCAAAATAAGGTAGATGACTGAAATAGTTGTACTATTGCCGTGTTGAGCTACAGACTATACCAATCCAACAAACCGAACGAGGTTGTAGGACACGCTTGTAGAACGCCAGAGAAGCAATAGAGTTAAGGAGAAAAACAGGATATTACGTGACCTCAAAATGATAGTGGCGACGTCTCTAATGCTCTGCCTCAGGCAGGCCCTTAAAGTACGTGAGCGATTGCCACGATGACGAGGCCCATGGATGCTTCTCTTTACACTAGGCATCATTCATTGAAGGAAATTGAGTTGAAGGTCGAAAGTAACAGCTAAAATACAACTTCATTAAACCCTACGCACGACCTGCCTTTGTCTGGTAAAAAAAAACAGATTGAAGATTTTGAAAATGATTGCCTTCTCAACTCGATGGCCTAAATAACTGTCGGTGGTGCTGCGATGTCAAAACTAGCGCCAGTCTTCTAGTAAATTCATCACTAACCATGGTGGATAGTGTTGGGCCAGCCTTGGTGGAAATTGCTGTCCCGCTAGTGGCAAAGCTTCGAACAATAAGGGTAGAGAAGTCAGGACGGAGTGGGGAAAAAATAAACGGGAGATGGAAGGAGAAAATTAATGTTAGAGCAGCGGAATAAGTACCGATTGCAGCTGAAAGTCGAGCTTGTAATTAAGGCAAATATCCCCGAAACTCGTCGGTTCACCACAGGTAATTTCCCCTTTTCCCCGGTTGTTTGAGTCAGACTAGCAAGGTTGATGTGGTAGATGGCAGTCAAACAAATACACATCGTGCCATAGCCAGCCGAGAATACAAACACAGCGACGACCGACCGCATGCCATATGGGAACCCTTCTCGAACTGGAAACGAGGTGTCTAGCTACGCGGTCGTTGGCGCAGTACAATACGAACGTTGTCTGTCCTTCTGGGAGTTTCGGCAGATCATGGTTCACGCAGCGTTAATTTCCAGACGCCGATGAGCATTTCCACCCTACCACGGCGTCTGATGGCAACTTTGATTGGCGTTGCATTGCAATCAATCTAAGTGGTCAGGCCAAAGCTTCACTTACAATGAGTGGCCGATCTAATGAAGCGTTAGCCGAAATTCTGAAATGCGTTTTCGACTGGGAGGGATTGCTTAGATGGGTTTGTAATACCGATCATCGTGGAACATCATCTTATGATATTTTGGACTCACCATGATGTTGGTTTTTGGATGCACTTCTTTACGACCTGTAAAAATCACACTTGGTAAAAGAATGACTACTTAAACGGTGTGCACTTTTCATATAGATTTTCGACGACCTTAAAAATTCAAACATATTTTATGGAAACCACGCGCAAAAATACGCCTTCTTTTACTCATTTGGTAGCAAGTCACACCAACTTCATCTCTGATACTCGAAGAAAGAGCGACTTTCGGATTTAGAAAAGTTTCTAATTATGAGATGTTCAAGGCCGCGCAATTTCCATTCACGGAGCACTGCACCTATGCGTGTATCAATGCCCCTCGTAAGGTATACAACATAGTCTGCATCCACTGCAGAATTTTATTAACAGTACATGGTATCTTCTCAAAAGCATGGAGGAATATATGATTCTACTTACGCGGAAAGTATAAACCTTGTAGATTTAAATAAGGGTGATTTGCTACCAAACGATTAAGAGAAACCGTATTTTTGTGCGTGGTTTTCATGAAATATGTTTGAATTTTTAAGGCCGTCAAAAATCAATGTGAAAAGTGCACCGCTTAAGTAGTCATTTTTTATCGAGTGTGATTTTTAAAGGTCGCAAAGAAGAGCACCCAAAAACCAACATCATGGTGAGTCCCAAATATCATAAGATTACGCCCCACGGTAATCAATATTACAATCTCACCTAGGTAATCCTTCCCAGTCGAAAACGCATTTCAGAATTTCGGCTCACATTTCATGAGATCGGTCGCGCACTGTATGTGCTCAAAGTCAGCGTCATGGATGATTGCACTCGCACGCTCCCGCGATCCTGTCTTCAACGTTGCACTTGTTGAGGACTACGACCCAACAATCGATGCAAAGATAAGAAGAAGAAGTCTTTAGGACAAACTTCAGATGCGAATCAGTGTGTGACGCCTTCCTTCTAGGGGATTGCAGTACCAGGACAGGGAAGTGTGATGTACGTATAAATCAAGTCCTTTGTGAGTAGGCAGGCGGAGGTTGTTGCTTGAATGGAAAGACTTGGCACTTCCGCTGCAACAGCTTGAGAAACATATTGCCGTCTGACAATAATCAAGGCCTAATTGACTACATACTTGCCCGAGTCCGGCGGAGCAGCTCAATGCAGGATTCACGGACAGCAAGGACAGCTCTTGTAGCCTAGCCACGATCCAGACCACATTTTTCAAAAGGCACGACTAGTGAGGAATTACGGTGTTGACTGTCTTCAGGACTGTACTACCTCCCCTAGCTTCAGTCTGGCCCTCGCTAGCCGCTGCATGGCAATGACACAGACGACGGCTGCCTCCGACGCGTCTTTGGTTAAAAGCAACTTTTGGAGTTGCGAAAATTCCCATTGAAGAATTCAAAAGACAATTTGGCAAGCACACGCTTGCTTTCGATAAATTCTCTTCGGCCCGTATATTTATATTGCTATCGAAATGATTAATAAGAAAATGCGGGCAAGTATGAGTTATTCTGTGGCTGGGGTTTGGGGTTTTCACTGCACAAACCCTCTCCTCAAACCTCAGTTACAGAATAAATTCTACTTGCCCGCATTTTCTTATTAATCCTTTCGATAGCAACATAAATGTACAGGCCTGAAGAGGGTTTCTCGAAAACAAACGTATGTTCGCCAAAATCTTTTTTAAAAGCATGTCAAAACTGAGGTCGATTCTCAGAGAACCTCGCAGGAAGACTAATGCCATAGCCGGTGTCGTCGCAAAAATGTGGTCTCCAGTGAAACGATCTAAATGGCTAATAGTAAATGAGTCAGTCACCGTTGTAGAGATTTGAACTTCAAAGAGATACAACTTCAGAAAACACATTTTGTACGTTCCGATCGCAATTAGGTCCAGGATTGAGAAGCTTAAGATCTTGAGTAGACTACTGACGGTGATATCAGGAGGCTATACCATAATCTGTCCACCTTAACTGTCGAGGACAAGATGTGGTGATAGCGCCATTGCTAAACACCACACTCCGGTGGAAAAAATATCTGCCTAACATTTAAACTCTATAGACCCAGACCCTTAACAGTCGTACAGCTCGGAAACGTCCAGACACCCTAATTACAGTTTTCTTGATTTCAGGCATCTACGAAAAGATCCTTGAAGTGCTAGCAAAACCGAACAACAAGGCACGTCATAAGGACTGCTTTCCGGTGAAAATTTGTAAAAGCCGTCGTAAGGCTCTTGGTAATCCTGTTTAAGTCGACAAAGTAGATCTCCTCCCTAATTGTTTTGGTTTAAGCGTAGACGCTAAAGTTGGAAGTAGTCCGTGATACTTTCCGTCGCTGCACAGATGCGTTGGACAGCACTTGTATCTTCGCCTAATCCCACTGGGACAGCCGACGGCACCGGCGTGGCCGACTGGAAATTTGGGCTGGCATTATAAAAACTGACCTCCGCGCATCTCTGGCCTGCGGAGCCAGTATGCAAATGGCTCAATTCGCCTGGGAACCAACTGTCGACGCTCTGGCTTCATGAGATGATTGAGCAAGTGTGGGGAGATGAATTCGGTTCTGATGAATGGAGCTCAGGTATTCTTGTGCCTGTCTTCAAGAAGGGAGATAAGACGAAGTGCGAGAACTACTGCGGCATAAGCCTCATCGACGTTGCTGTGGTCTCCGCTGTAGTCCCTCTAAGACGATTCCAGGGTGTGCGTGACTCTAGAACGGGACCAAACTAAGCCGAGGTCCAAGCTGGGCGTGGATGCGCGGACCAAATAATCACTGCGGCGCATTCTGAAATTCTGCCATAGCCACTAGCAACCGACGGCTAACTGCCTTGTTGGCTTCGCCGCTGCGTTCTATTCTGTCCATCGTGAGCTAGATGAAGTGCCAGCCAAAGTCCTTGCCATGACCAGGGCCTACTATCTCTCCACCACTGTGCGAGTTGTGGTCCATAACAATCGGTCCCGAGAATTCGATATCCAACATGGCGTTGGACATGATTGTATCCTATCGTCCATTCTGCTTAAGTACGTCACTGACTGGATTCTCGGAAGGGCCGTACACTGTTCTGACGACGTTGAGCTTGCACCCGGAGGCCAACTAACAGATCTCGATTAGGTCGACGATATCGCCTTTGCAAGCCTCAGGCTTTGGTGATCTACAGTCTGTGGTGTGGCGGATGAATGAAATTGCTACATCTGCGGACTTATCCATAAATGCTGGGAAGACCAAAGTACTCTCAAGCTGCGTTCCTGACCAGAAGAAGACATCCTTCGGGATTAATGGATGTCAGCTTGAAGAACTACTTTCAAATACTTCGGGGCGAGTCTGATGCCGAATGGACAAAGTAAGAAAGACATTGTCTCCCGAGTCGATGCAGCCCGCCAGGTTTTCTGATGTCCTTCAAAGTGTCTTTGCACTCGACGCAACATTTTCATTGCTACGAAGATAAGCGTGTACCGTGCACCCATCCAGTCAGTCCTCCTTTACAGTTTTGAATGCTGGGCTGTGCGCGTTGAAGATGAAAGGAAACTGTTGTTTAGCCACCGCTACCTGAGGATCATCCTTCGAGTGAAGTACGTCCGATTCGTCCCAAATGAGACAGTCTGCACTCGGTGCGACTACATCGCAGGGATACCTCCGGCCATATAAGAATGACGACTGAGTTGGTCTGGGTATGTTCGTTTGCTGACTCACGAGCTCAATCTTGTTGCCCTCGGTCTCCCGTAGCTGACCATCTGAGGGCATAGATGTGGGGAGATTAACTTGGAACCCGACTCGACACAGTTCGTCAAGACACGGAGATGGTTCCTGGACTTCCGATATTCGGCCTCCGTTGCCGGAGAATATAGTGGGTCAAGCTGCCCTGAGTCACTGCCACGGATCGTCACGCATGGAGGTACAATCCGTGATATAATCACGGCCGATTAGATCAGGCATGACCACAGCCATACCAAATAAGATTACATTCGCAATTAAAAACAGTCACAATGGCGTGCCACTCATGGATTTATCACAATTAAGAGACGGTGTCGACGTTTTATCCTAGGGCATCACCTTAAATCCCTCGGAGTCGGTCGCATATGAGCAAATATTCAATAACTTCCATATACAAATACAAGGGTGACTAAAGTTGACATTCCCGGCTTATTTTAAGGTCGTTAGTTGAATCGGTAACTAGGATTGTCGTCAGAGGAATACCCAAAGGCACCGCCAGTTGCCAAAAGCACACGTCTGTTTTGTGGTTTTTGCATCCGCATTTACTCTGTCAATCGCCGCTATTCAAAAAATCATACTTTACGACGAAGTCATCCAATATGCTTCAGTTGACTCAGCTCTACTAATGCAGAAGGACAATTAAATCAATTCGGCATCTCCATCGGCCACAAACCGGCGTCTGCATTGCGCACGACATTATCCCGGGTAAAAGACCCCATACCGAAAGAGCAGCAAACAAATATCATTTACCGCATTCCATGTGCAAACTACTCTAGCGTTTATGCTGGGCATACCGGCCGACGACTTGGGACGCGCATTAATGAACATAAGTTGGCCATCCGCCGACGGGATCCCTTGTCTCTCGTGTGTTCGCACGCCCTTGAGTGTGATCACCGCTTCAACTGGGGGGACGGAAGTGATCGCTGGTGCCAACACCAGACAAGCGCGAGAGTTTCTAGAAGCTTGGCACTCTAATAACAACAGCATCAACCGCCATGTCGACTTGGACGCTCACTACGAAGGCTTACGTTCACGGTTCGCCGGCTTGCGCTCACCCTAAGACACCAACTGCTAATCCATGTTCGGCCATGTAGAATATCACGGATTCAGCACCTCCCCCACAGAGTGAACCATGTGTGAAACCCTCAACACCTCCCCTAACGTCCGCCACCTATCTAAACACATTCTTCACCCCCACACATAAACGTCTGTCTTGCCGATGTAACCTCGATGCCCCCCTAGCTCCCCAGTGCGATTATCTCCCTCACACTTTTCATTTCGTCTGACGACGGGTTGGTGTAACCGACTTGAAAATTCACGAGTATACCTCAATTTTCCGACGAGCCTTCTCCTTTTATTAGGACCAAAGTATGTCTAAATAATAAGCTTCAAAGGTAAACGGTAAGAAAATTAGTCAGAATAACTGATAGCCCTTACAAGATGGTAAGCCAGTTTCAGAAGTGGTGCGAATGGTCACTAATAAGCAGGCCTTATTTGAATATATGGACATCAGTACACTGAAACCAGCAGTTCAATGAAGGTAATATTTTCCTATATTTATTATGGCTACAGGTAACTTAAGTGAACATGATCTATGATAACAAGCGACAGGTTTTCCCATTAAGGAAATTCCAAACCCTAATAGGAGTAAATTGAAGACTTAGTGTCAAACTGACATAGATGGCTTTAGTGGATATCTGCGCAGATCAGTGGAACGAATAATCAAGGAGCCGTTAGACCAGCTCATCGGTAAAGCAAAAAGTTGTTAAATCAGGCCTGCAATCCTCCTTGCCTGATGATTACATTATGATACGGGAAAGGACTTTTGCCCATTTAGTAAAAGGAAGTTTGCGGAGCCAAGGTATCGACTTGCCAGGCCTTTAAATATCGATGTCGGCCTTAGCGGTTTGACTGATTCCTGTCGCCAGCCAGAAGATGCTAATTGTCTTTTGCGAGGGTCTTAGAAGGCCGGACGCCTGATAAGCATAACTTCCGCCTCGTGTGAATCTAAGGTGACACGCATGAGCAAGCTGCCTGACCACATAATACAAACCAGTCAGTGAAAAAAAGGAACGACTACGACTCCGCACCCAACAAATATGCTGGAAAACAATTCTTACCGAACTAGACGTAATTTGCCTCCGCAACCCTCACGCTCGCAGTTCACAACGTCCGCATTGGCGCTCCCGAAAGATCGATAGCAGCCGGGAGGAACGCAGTCGGGGTTGTCGCATTTGTAAATTTTCGCATTTGCGTAGCCGAGTTTAATAGTAATATTTCTTATCAACTCGTTTTTGTGACGAATTGTATGTACGGTTGAGATGGCGCGCACAACAGTAGTTTTGCCGTGGGCCACATGGCCAATCGTGCCAATGTTTATAGTCGCCTGACGACTGATTACCTCTGGTGTCAGCGGCGACAACTTGGTAACGTCCTTTTGAAGGTATTCATGAATAAAATAAAGTATATACCAATTTATTCACATCCTGAATTGCTAATTGAGCCTTCTCCGTCATGAACGCGCGTGGAAAAAGTCAAAGCAGGGCTGCGCAACGGTACACAAAGGACACAGTCAACGGAAGAAGCTAATTGGCTGGTCCAGGCACACGGTTATCAAGATCACTTAGTTCTGATAGTTTCTTGAAATTGGCAAAGAAAAATTTGACAGTTCCACCGCCAGACCATTTTGGTGTTTTTATTCTTATTTTTTTGCATATTTTTTGTGCCCATACAGAAAAATCGATAGTACTTGGCAGACATTCACAGTCCAGCGTTGGCAGCTTAGAACTCGACCAGGCGTGTCTGGTCACCGAGCCACTAACCCGTGTAACAAGTCCCGAGAACATGCTTAGTCATTTGACCGACCCACCTACGGTGTCGTGCGTTCATATACGCTCACTGTCTTTAATCCCAAAAAGAGGGTTTAAAACGCAGATGAGCGAAGTGTGCCGTTACTTTATCTTTTTCCGTCTATTTAACAGGCCATTATCTGCTTCTTAATCTCAGTTAACTGTGACAGGACGATATAAGCAGTATCTGGTTGTCTTCGTTTATTAGCTGAGGCTGCCATGTCATGCTTTTCAAGTCAAGCCTTTACCGTCTCTTCTTTATCGTAAGTTTTAATGCGGTTGTTCAGTTCTTATTCATTTTTATTTCCCCTCAGCAATTTTTTTAAGTACGTTCATTTTTATGAATGTTACAAGGGTGGTTAGTTGGAGGATAAGAACTACGGTATACCGTAAGGCGACGAATACCAGACGCATCCTCAAATTCCGAAGTAACCACCCTATTGGTCACAACTCTCTTCCGACGAGTTCAAACACATTGTAGTGACGACGACGGGAAAAGGAAGAGGCACAGCCAATGGTTACCCACGATCCTTCATACGTGAGTGCCGACGAAAGACTACCCGTCAGCGATTAGACGGTGAGAAGCCGAAGTTTTGGCTTACGATTCCCTACGTGAGGAATGTTTCCGAGGCGACAGCTAGAATCTTAAACCCTTTTGGGATTGGGGTGGCCCATAAACCGGAATCCACCACCAAGCAGCAGATGATGAGACCCAAAGACCCGCTACCGGTAACGGAACAATCAACAGTGGTCTACAGCATACCGTGCCAAAATTAAAATGCACGGTATATTGGTGAAACTTGGATACGCCTCTGCACAAGACTGTATGAGCACCAGCTTGTAGTCAACCGCGAGGAAAAACTGTCACTGGTGTATGGCCACATGCAACAGGAGAAACATAGTTTCGCCTTTGGGGAAGCCAGCGTCCTCGGTCGAGCCCATGACAAGATAGCTAGGCTGGTACTCGAAAGCTGGTCCTCAGTTGGCACAATCAACAGGGCTATTGATCTTCATCCGGCCTACCAGGCGCTACGTACAAGGCTCCAGTCAGTCCAGACGGAGCCGACAGTACTGGCGAGCGAGTCGCGGCTCCTCCAACAGTTGTCAGCTTCACAGCAGAGGAAAGAGCCAGCGGGAGGTCACACGACCAACGCGAGACATCGTCCCACCGACGCGCCCAGACAGCCGAGCGTGATTCGCACATGCAACGGCAGCTGATCAGTCCATCCGATTAAGAGGTGAGGGCCCATGGGCACACAGATATTGCAGCGACTACGACAGCCGGCCAGGGGCAGAGGTCACAGGAGCGCGCCATCGGCCGCCCACTGAGGGACCAAAGCCATTCCCTAGCCAGAAGGCAGGTCAGAGTTCGTGCGTCAGGCATGCCTATAACACAAGACAGTCGGCGAGACAGAACAACTCCGAGCAAGCAGAAACAGACACTCCACCACTCTGATGATGGAAGCGAGGAAGTTTCCGAAACGTCAGCACCAATAAATTGTGGTCCATGCAATCGCCCCTTTTTCTTCTTCGTCTTCCTTTGGCGTACGTAAGTCCATACGATTACATTCTACAGGTTTTTTTGGGGTTGTCGATCGTGCTTTTGCTTTGGTGCAGACGGACTCTGCATGATCCGGATTTGTAAAATTTATGGAAATGCGAGCGCCAGTTTCATCTCTGTCTGTCGTATTTTTATTGCCGTCCATTTCAGTTGAGTCCGAAGACTTGTCTAGTGACTTCGTGCGTTGCCTCTTGTTTCGCTGAACGCGACGACTATAACCTTTTACCGGTTTCTTGAGGTTCATGTGGACCGGCCCATTGGTGTTTTTCATGTCCTTTGTATCTTGCTCAGGGGGTTTAATTTTGTTATACTTAAGAAGTGACGCTATTATTTCAGTGAGGAGGTCGACGTCTACTTCTAGTTTCAAAACTCTGGTGGTGAGTTCTCGACATCCATCACAGCGTGTCGGCATGTCAGTATCTAGCTTATTTGTGGCTGATATCATCAGTGAACTGCGTTCTTCAGGCTTGGTGATCGGTGGCCCATCACGTCCAGCTGAGAGCGAGTTGAGCATTTCCGGCAAGTTTTTATCACAGGAAATAGAAAACGGTTTACAAATAAGTGATAGGTCGCCTTTTCCTGAGTATATATTATTTTTGTGAACATCGGGTCGTCCCGGCGTGGCCGAGCGGTCAAGGGCGTCGGTCCCTGCACGAGTGGTCTGTGGGTCGAATCCCGGGTGGGGCGGACTTTTGTCACATAGTAGGGTTGTAACGCCCCTTGGCGCGAGCAGAGTTATTTGAATGTGGGGACACTTTTAGCGCGCGGATCTGGGATCGAGCACTTCGTTGACGGAAGATTAGCTTCGGAAGCACGATGGAGTCGGTATTCGTAGGAATCTGAACTAAACCGACTGAATGCTTTGTTAAACTCCGGATTGTGGATTCCTGAGAGCCACGGTGAGGGATGAAGATATCACCGGCAATGAGATCCGTGAAAGCGGAGATAACTTGCACTTTTAAACTGATTTCTCGATTTATTTCGACAAGGCGTAACTCTGGGTGGAAACGGATGATCAAAATTTCAAAACTTGGGAAGACGAGTAAATTCTAGTCGAATTCAAACGGCGCGGTCGGTACAGCAGCTGTCGTTGAGGAACAGCTGTCGCTGTTGGCCAACGAGATTGTTCCTGGTGAGACCGGCCGTAATGTTCAGAGACCACAAACGCCATCGCTACGGTAGAGTCGATCGGCGGATTCAGCAACCAAAATTTGTGGGTGCTTTTCTGAATGCAAAAATCGAGTAATAGTTCTCTTTAATAAAGGATAATTTTGCAGAGTTTTCACACTCATGGGTAGTTTATTTCAAATAGCAATTGCATTTACAGAAAAGAACCGACGATATTTAACAGTACGTGCCAGAGGTAAAAATAAAAAGACCTCACGGTAACTGTTACGTCGTGGGTGGACATGATGTCTTAAAGAAGTGAGTGGGTTAAATGTGTGATTATTTAAGAGTTTAAATAGCAAAAATAGTCCTTTTTGTAATTTTCGGAACCATAAAGGATCAAGACCCGTAAGCCGGCAACGTTCTTGGTAAGACAAATGTCGGTGTTCCGGGGTGAAAACTCTCTTGGTAAAAAAGTGTTGAACGGATTCTATTTTCTTCCGCTCAGTGTGACGCATGAGGCTAAATAAAAGCGAAGAGTATTCCAGACCAGGTCTAACGTACATGTTGAAAAGGCGCATTCTAATGTCCCTAGTTTTAAAGTTTCGGAGGATAGACCCGGTCGTTCTATGTGCTTTGGAGACTATCAAGGCACAGTGCTCCGAGAGATTGAGACTCTTGGAGTATGAAACGCCCAGATACTTAATAACCCCAGGCACATTTATGGCGTGACATTCAATATTGAGTTGAGGTTGGCGGTCGTCGCCAACCACCATGACTGAGCACTTATGCCAAGAAAGAGAAAGGCGCCATGTGCGGCACCACTGGGCGAAAGCCTGTAGATGGCTCTTTAGGAACACAAGCACGATGTCACGATCTGCCGGCTTATATCGATATGCAACATTAAAATCATCGGCATAGATGAAAGGCCTACCATTCTGAAATAAATCGGGTACATCATTAACAAAAGGCAAAATAAAAGCCGGCCGAGTACACTACTCTGAATGACTCCACTCCTCACACACGTGGGGTTGGATATAGTATTGGAAATCTTAACTCGTTGTGTACGAACGCCCAGGTAAGAGGATTTAATTTAATTTAATATAAAATTCAAAAATTTGCCACCTATTCCGAAAGAGGACAGTTTCGAGAGAAGAAGAGCATGGTCAACACGGTCAAAAGCCTTAGTGAAATCGAAATAGACTGTGTAAAGTGCAAAACCATCGTCCCTAGATTGGAGAACATAGTCAAAGAAAGAGAGCTGACAGGTGTCACAAGATCGAGCTTTGAGGAATCCATGCTGAGCAGCACTCAGTAGGTTGTTATCTGTTAAGTGACACATCATCTTATCTTTGATCAGTGTCTCTAAAATCTTTGAAACTGCGGGGAGGATGTTTATTGGCCGAAAGTCATCAAATGACGTAGATTTGTCGTGCTTAGGAATGGGCAAAATGTGTGATTCCTTCCACAAGGTAGGATAAGTTTCACTTTCCAGAGCGAGGTTAAATAATTTGCATAAGAGGGATGGGCAAATCGTATTTGCATCGACTTTTAAAATGCCTACTGGGACACCATCAGGTCCTGGACTATAAGATTGACGATGACGCCGAATCGCAACAGTCACATCCCACAGAGTGAAAGGTATAGTTTCGATAACTGCCCCCATCAATGCCTGGATGGTCGGTAGCGGGATGGTCGAGTCTTCAATAAAGGTTTTGGACAGGAAATCATTGAAGCTATCAGCGGTTAACTGGACACCAACTGTAGGATTTCCGAGAGCGTCTCGGAGGATGGGATGCTGCGTCTTTCGGTGAGTTTGTATTTTTCTAAAGAAAGGTTTCGAGACGCTAAACAAATGGTTTTCAGTAAACTGGATCTTCCCAGCTAGCCGTTTTTCTTCAGACAATCTCTTAGCCCGCTCAAAAATATCACAAATCAAGGGCTGAACAGAAACGTCGTTCTGAAGATGGAATCGACGATAAAGTCTGCGCAATCTGCG